TGCTTTGCATCACAATATATCTGTAAGGAGTTACAAACTACCTTAAAAATATTCTTATGAAATATTTGATGACTCTGTCCTGTTAATGCCAGGGACTGTCTAGTTTTTATCCACTGAGTCGTGTGTCTGTTTATAGATGACTGCAGTCTCTATTTGTCAGCTCTTTGCTGACTTGCGTACAATGAATTATTTGGTGTAGCCTGACAGATACTGCTAGTTGTTCCTATAGCCATAAACAAGTGGAGTTTGATTGATTTTCTGTGGATTTGTGCCTAGTAATAGGGTTTTCTGGGTTCTAATAATGTGTGAGCATTGATCAAAGCTTTTCCTTCAAGTGGGAGTTCCTAATTTCTCTCCTGTGGGGTTTTCAAGGTGGCTAAAAGGAGAGAAATTTTCATGTTGCACCTTTTCCCATGGTGAGAATACAAGAAGTTTTTCTTAGTCTCATTACTTAACCATATATTTGCAGAAAACAATTAACAATTAAATATCTTTGTAGCCCCTCTCCTAGTAGCATTTTAAGCAGGTTTTACGGTAAAACCTGGAAGTTATTACGTAGGGACACATGTTATTGTATCAACAAGTTTCCTTAGAAATCCATCTGAAGGAATTCAATTCAGTCCCTTTATTAGCATTAGTAAAGAGATCTGTGATTGGACAGGAAGGAGGAAATGTGACATTCCTAGTTATCATTGAACCCGGTCTGCACTGGCGGAGTCTGGGAGAGCTTCAGGCAGGCACAGCTTCCATGGGCTTTCAGTGAGAGTGGTGGAGGTGTCCTGTCACTGCCTGTGCTCTTCTGAGTTGAAAGCTTCCATCACCAGTCTGCTCCCCTTCTACTTCCCATTTTCCACGAAATGGTCTTACAAATAGCTTGGTAAAACCAGAAGTTAATTTCTACATCAACTGTATCTGTGCACTCCTCTGTTTCTTAGGAGCTGTAATTCTTTCTGCTCTCGGTGGAGCTGCTGCTTTTAATACTGCCAAAGACACTGGTTCGGTGATCTGTAATGAATAATTTAGTGAACAAATTTTGTTGTTTTTCTGTTACTGAGTTGTTCTTGAGGAAATTGATTTTAAAACCCCAATTGTAATAAAACTCATGACCAAGTAATTTCTACCCTTCCTTGGGTGGTAAGCCTCTAGATTGTTACTAAGGCTTTTGCAAATAGTCAGGATTCAAAAATCAATGTACTCAACCTAATCGGATGATGCCACGTTCTCCAGTAGGTGAATCAGCAGACTCACTTGAAATCAATAGAACTTTATCAAATGCCTCAGAATCTGGCCAGAATTGTTTGATTTTTTTACAGATAGCTTTTCGCCTGGCAGTTGATGCAAATACTTAGAGGACTTCCTTAGTATAAAAAGAAAAAAATGAGTTTTCCACAGACTCGTCTGCCAAACTATTTTGGTTGGCCAAATACAGAAGTCAAGCTTACTACTGAAAAGCAGAGTTGAAAAAAGAGAAATAGTGACAAACTTTTGTATCACATACTGTTGTTGACTATATTCTGTTTTGGGCAGTCAGTAGTACAAAACATCAATCTAATACTGCTTTTCTTGGGCATTTCTGTGTGTGTAGTTCTAGGGTTTTTCGCTAATTTTACTATTTTTGTCACTAGTATTGGTCTTAAGGTGTAACTGTGTCTTTCTCAGCAACTTTAATAGTGGCTGAAGTAGAGAAGGTAGCTAATTGCATTGCAAAGTTCCAATTTACAATATTGTCATGTTAGTGTACCAGTGTGTACTTTATTCCACGGTTGTACCTCTGAATAATATATTAATCTCTAATTAAGCAATGTGGTTACCCAAGGAGTATCGACAGCTTCTGAAATCTAGACACTTGGTGTACTATTACCTGGTTTCCTCCTCAACCAGCTATTAACAAGATTTTTAAAAGGTGTATTAGCAGGTGACTCCATTCATTTAGGGATTTTTTTTTTTCGTGCATGCAGTTTCAGGATTTGTCTGGCTTGCATAGTGCTCTCTAATTTCAGTTCACGAACTCCTCTCTGTCAGAATTCATTGTGCTAAGGCAAGGTGAAACAAAGGAGCAGGAAAAGAAATTGCTTATTTTCTGTAGCTTCTTTCTGGAACTGTACACATTGATTGTGTTTGGGTTTCGTAACGCTTGGTGCAGCAGCAGTTCCAGCAAGGGCTGGTTTATTGTCTCTTAGCCATGAAGTAGAGGTAGGTGCTATAACACTGCCTGATACTTGCTTGATGAAGGGAGACAAGGTCTGAGACAACATCCTCTTCTCAAATCATTCTGTGGTATGGTGCAAGCAGCAGTGCTTTGCTATGGCACAGTTACCCACCAGAACCATCTGTGACCCTAAATATTACTTGAGTATCATGAATATGTTATGGGAATGGAAAAAAACACAGCACAATAGGAGTTCTACTACTACCAGGACATGAAAATACTTAGCACTTAGCTATTTTTTTGCAGCATCTACATTCTGAAAACGGTTCCCTCTGCGCTGCAGAGTGCAACTCTAGCTCTTGTGTTGTCTGCAAGTGCACTTTATTATTCTAGCACTGTTCTTGTCTTTGAATTTTCTTAATTGGTGTCTGAATGGCTGTTTGAATACATGCCACCCACACAGTTTATTTGTAGCTTACTGGTCCTAAATTGAAAGAAACAGTTTCTGTTAACAAATCATCAAATTTGAATGTTCCCTGTCTCTAGAAGTTTGAGTAGATGTATCATAACATGCTGAAATTGTCTCTGATAATAAACATTCTCTGGGATTTTGAGGGAATATCATCATAACGTTTAAACTGAAGTTGGAGGAGCAAAAGAGAGGCAGCAACCAGACACCTTGTTTAAAAGCTTGAAGAATCTCACTTTGTTTGCTAAAATAGCTTGTTTCATTCTCTGATGCTAATTATGTGACACTAGTTTCACAAGCTTAAAAATTGTTAATTGGGTACCTCACTTGTAGCTCTTTTACCAGCAAAGTATAAGATAATTGGATGCTTTGTTGTTCCTCTGGTATAAAACAATAAAAATAAAATTTCCTAAAGATCCTTATTATTTTATTAGTAGATTCATAGAAAATCAATAGAAGCCAGGTTCCCAAACTACTCTTCAGTAGCTTTGGAAAATGCCAAATCAATAAATAAATTGCATACACT